AGGACCTCCTGGTGCAAGTTGGAAATAAGACACTGGCATTGTCCTGACAATGAGAGGTCATCACCAGCTCACTTTGAATATAGTTTGGTCTGGTTACTTTCATTGGCAGTTAAGACATCTTATCTTCAAAAGCAGGCATTGTTAAACCTCAAAGAAATGTTCTTGAGAAGGCATTCCAATCACACGCTCCTCACCTGAAATCACACCTCATTACTTTCTCGAACAGCTGTTTGTTAATATTCAGAAATGTTTAGTGACTGTAAAAGCAATCACGTCAAAGTGCTGCACAATACATTCCATGATAAAACTGAAGAGAATTGCAAAAGGTATTCATTGCTCGTTCCTTAAGGAGCAAGAGATTTCAAGCTGTTAATCACCAGTGTCATATTCTTATAAATATACTGTAATTCCTACACTTAATCTGTTTGGTTCACCATTCTTCAACCAACACCCTGTTTCATCAGAGGGAACATTGAAAATGTGTACTATAGTTATTCAGGGAGAACATTTCATAAACTTTTCCGGCTTGGGTTATATGCATGAAATCAAAGAAGATATCAATTTTCCTATTAAAGACATCTAATATAATTGAACAATTAACATTTTTTTAAAATACATGCAGGAATAAAACACGAATCTGTATTTTCCCTTTTAGTGGAATTTAATGCGCGTGCAGTGACTAAGACAGGACCAGTACAGATAAAATGTCTTCAGACATCTCGGTGGACAGGTTTAATTGGCTTGTTAGCATTCTTCCCTTGAATCACCAGTTAAACACAAAACATACAATACACATGGAAACTCCACAGAAATAGTGTTTAAAACCAAGGACAGGAGCCACCTCTTTATGCCAAGGGGGGTGGGAGTATGGAACAGCTACCGAGCCACGATACCCCAGTTTCAGGATCCAGAAAGGGCTACCAAACCTAGCTGACCTTCATTTTGTTTGTAATGTTTACTTAGTTGGTTTAAAGTTGTATTACTAATATTTATTAGAGAGCAACACATTCTCATTTTGGAACTGTGGTCATCATTCCTGGATTTGTTACGAGAAGGTTGCATGTTCAAAGCAAAGGTGAGACACTGCTATCCTGGCGTTGAGAAAGGTACTTCACCTTAAACTGCTTCAGGAAATTAGCCAGCTGGGTAAAACGTTTAAAGTGTAAGAATCTTTGGATAGATATTGATTTAAAAAAAAAGGTGTCAGCCAAATAAAATCGTCATTAATTAAAACCAGTATGTCAGGAGCCCGACCCCAGAAGGATTTTTGTGGAAATGCATTTTCGGGGACGTGCTCACATTAAGAAAGCAGTTCACTAGCTCCATCTGGAGGGCACACAGAAAGTGAGCCTGTCTCGTAATGTTTTGTGCGACGCAAATGCACGATTCGTTTTTACTGTGAAAGTTTGTAAACGTTAACTGTATCTGCTTTGGCAGCGCGATAATTCAACGGTCATGCCAGTCAATCCCCTTGGGCTGAATCGAAGTGAACTGAATACTGTAGCGCATTTCTCCAGCCGCAGATCCAATACTCACATCTGTACAGTACTGTGCTACCGGTCCAAGACTCCTCGGCGGCTATTGTACGGTCTGGAAACGGTGGGAGGATTAAAGGCCAATATAATCAGGTGTTTCTAAGTCTAACTTCATAACGCGCCATAAATAGGTACAAATGAATATAGTCATAATTATCTTCCGCTGCACGCCAAGAACTTGCGGCCATTTTTCACGGTCGCACCCTGCGACGCCAGTCCTCTTGTCCGAGCCTGATGAAGTTTTTTTTTTTCGGCGAAGAGCCATCTTCTGAAAACCAATAACGTATATATCCACAGATTATCCTAAACTACAATCATTTTAACTAGCTTGTAAGACACCAGATGTGGTCTTTAACACCGCCGGAGCTTTTTAAAGGAGTGTTGAGTTGGCGATGCGTTCACTTTCATGAAGAAAATAAGATAGATTGAAATACATTCGTAATTTATTATCGGAAACGTAATACAGCAGTGTTAGTCGCAAACTCTGTTATCGGACCAATCCTTGTTCAGTGTGATCGAGAGAAAACTCTGATCAGATCTTTTGTGAGTAAACATCTGCTAATTATTAGACAGCGGAGTTCAATGTGGCAAGGAAACACCGGTCACTGAACTTTCCACTTGCATACTAAAAGTTTTACATTTGCAAAGTAGGATATATATACACCACATTTCAGAATTAACAAAATAAAATATCTATATTCACAATTAATGTGTTACTGGGATTTACATTGTCTTCATAGTACAATATACTATACATCTTTTTCCATTTGAAAATTGTATGCTTTAACATGTCAAAATTGATCTTCTGTTTATCATTTTCCTCTGTAAGTAATTCATCTACTACAGCTTAACAGTGTACACAGATCATCTCTACATATACAGTATATACAGACAAAACAACATTTAAGCACAACTATGCTACAGCAGTATTCATAAAGAGTATCTTCACTTTTCAGTAAGCATTCACAGTGTCCAGTGATTACTTTACCCCCAGAACAAACAAAAACAGGAGAAACTCTGTAATGAACAGAGGAAGAGAGTCTTCAAATTTCCAGCCTGCTG